AAGCATTCTACTTTTTGTTTAGTTTTAAATCTTACATTCTGGAAAATAGTGTAAGTCTCACATAGTCTATCACATTCTGTTTACAGCCTTTTCAACATTTAATTGAACAATATATACTGTGTTTGTGTGTGTGTGTGAGAGAGAGAGAGAGAAAGACAGAGACAGAGACAGAGAGAGAGATTCTAATCACAAGAGCACATTTTTCTTGCATGTTCTGTTGATTTCAAATTGAACTTGATCACAAAAGCCATTAACCAACTCTATTTCTGCATTAGTAGTTGGAGCATAAAATTAAATGATCATCATATTAAAGCATTGTCCACAAAGTCTGATCAATATTATTTGGTCATTGATTGTCACTGTTGCTGAACTGTTGTTGTCATTGTCTTGTAATGGAAGTTTAACAATTATTGGTGATCACCTTTTAAATATTTTATTATTGGAGGTTTGAAAATGCCATTGTTACTGCCAAGGCTAAAGGTCCTTATATTCTCTGGATTTTGTTCTGTAGGTAGCCTAGGTTTTCCTGGAGTGGCAGGACCAAGAGGTGATCCAGGTTTAAAAGGTGAAAAAGGCGAAGTTGGACTCCCAGGGGAGCCAGGAAAAATGGAAAAGGTTGACATGGAAAACATGAAAGGCCAAAAAGGAGAACAAGGAGATAAAGGTATGTCAAATTAAATAATATGTGTCATTGTTTCTGCTGTATTTTGATTGTTTTTTCCTCTATGCCTAGACAATAATAATTTTGGCATGCCAAATAATAATGTACTTAATTTCTACCCAAATATTTGCATTACCCTCCATCTGGAACTTATAACTATAAGCAAGAAAATATTATTGACAGGGATATTGCAGACATGTAACAAGATGCCAACCTCTCCCTTGCTCAGCAAAGGAAACAAAAATATACCTTCCAAGGTGTTGGAGGAAGTAATGGTGGCCACATTGGATAGACCAGCATCTAACCCCTGTCTTTTAAATGATTCTTCTTAGGATGCTGGAGGGCAACATTAACACTTAAAAATCAAATGCTAGGTTGACAAATCTATTTAGTGAGGTTCCTCCATGGTTAGTTAGTTTCTTCCTTTTTAGATGTAAAATATATCTTTTTGCTAAGGTGGAATATCAGGAAGACTAAAAGTAGCTTTCTAGAGTGTAATTTTTTTCAGAGGCATTAATTCATTGAGGATCGTCTGAAAAGGCAGATCATCCTCTCTTGATATCAAAGAGGTTTGCTCTGCTTTAGCCAAATGGAGGAGCTGTCACAGACAATTTCCCAAGAATCTGAATGAGACAAATAGCAAAATTCCCTTTTCCTTCAGAACTAAAGAAATATTATAAAAATGAAACAATTTGATCTCAAAGCAAAAGGAGAGGTGCGCTGTGTATTGCTCTTTGAAATATATACCGTATTTTTCAGAGTATAAGACTCACCTTTTCCCCCCAAAAAAGAGGGTGAAAATCTGGGTGTGTCTCATACACTGAATACAGCAGTTTTGGCCTCCCAAAACCCCACCCCCTTCACAAAAATGGATGTGCAGAAGGTTTGGGAGGCCTGCAAAGTGCTCCTGGGGGATGGGGAGGGGAAAATGAGTGAAAAATGGGGCATTTTTTGCTCATTTTTGCCCCTCCCCAGCCCCCAGGACCCCCCAGGCCTCTCAAACTCTCTGCATGCCCTGTTTTTCACAAAAAATGAGATGTGCAGAGGGTTTGGGACAGTGGTGGGTTTCAAATTTTTTTAAAACCTAATCTGTGGGTGTGGCCTATTTTGTGGGTGTAGCTTGGCGTCATGTGACCGGGCGGGTATGGACAACTTGACATCGCTCATGCACATTCAGGCACATGATCACCACTCCCAAGCCATGTGGCAAAAAAATTTGGGACTCGTATGAAAGTGGGGGGAAAGAGAGGGGAAAACCTTCCAAAAATAGACAACTGGAGGATTAAGAGACGAAATTAGGGAGATCGGAGAAGGCAGGAAAGAGGGGAATCCAGTAGAAAGCTATCACACGCTGGGAAAAGAACTTTGGGAGATCTGAAAAGAGAGGACAGAGGGGAATCCAGTAGAAAGCTATCACGCGTTGGGGAAAAAACTTTGGGAGATCTGAAAAGTCAAGACAGAGGGGAATCCAGTAGAAAGCTATCGCACGCTGGGGAAAGAACTTTGGGAGATTGGAAGAGGCAGGACAAAGGGAATCCAGTAGAAAGCTATCACATGCTGGGAAAAAAAACTTTGGGAGATCTGAAAAGTCAGGACAGAGGGGAATCCAGTAGAAAGCTATCGCACACTGGGGAAAGAATTTTGGGAGATCGGAGGAGGCAGGACAAAGGGGAATCCAGTAGAAAGCTATCACACTCTGGAGAAAGAACTTTGGGAGATTGGTGGAGGCAAGACAGTGGAGAATCCAGTAGAAAGCTATCACATGCTGGGGAAAGAACTTTGGGAGATTGGAGGAGGCAGGACAGAGAGGAATCCAGGAGAAAATTCCTGAGCTAGCCGCTGCTGTCTGGTGGATTGTGCTGCTGGACCCCTCCATGCTTCTCCATTCACCATCTCCACTCCCAGGTATGGGACTTGACACTGAATTAGGCTAGGATTGTGCGGCCGGGCAGGGGGAGCGAGCAATGGAGCTGCTTCCAGTTGGGCGGGGGTGAGCGAGCGAGCGACAGGGCCGAGGCAGGCATTCCAGAAGTTACTTCCGGGTCCACCAGTCGAACCTCCTCTCACCGGATCGGTAAATTTCACCATCCGGTTCTCCCGAGCTGGTGCGAACCGGCACAAACCCACCACTGGTTTGGGAGGTCTGCAGAGTGCGAAAACCTTTTTTTTAAAATTACCTCTTCAAAACCTTGGTGCATCTTATACTCCTGTGGGTCTTATACTCCGAAAAATAAGGGTAAGTATTAAAGGAGACATTGTTATGCACCCTAAAATGTACATACAGTATTGTCAACCCAAAGAAATTTGTGTCACTGTTTGAATATTAATGGCTAAACTTAAGATCCTCTCGGCCAGGGCTGTCAAACTCATGGCCTGTGGGCCAGATATGTCATGTTCTGGTCCCACCCATGCCCAGTTTAGTGAAGGGGGGGAAAGCCCCAATATGTCACGTGATGTCTCCATGATGCCACAAATTTGACACCCCTGCTGTAGGCTATCAAAGAACAGATTAATTTTAATGGCATTCACTCATGCAAGAATTAAGGTCATCCAATATGCATGCAACAGGATAGAGAGCAGTCAGTGCTCTACATTTTAGGAGGCAGTTTCAGATGATCCAGTTAGATTGTTGTTTCTCTCCAGGAACCATCTTATCTTGGACCTGGGGTTTAGCTGAATTATTGGAGGCCTCTCTTAGACTTGTAAAGCAGTATTGTTTATGCAACCTCACACAGTGATTTGGTCTTAGAAAAGAAAACCATTGTGTTGGCATGCAGAATAATTAATTGGTTTACTTATGTTATTGAACCAAGGCATAGCACACAGAAATTTTTGCCTCTGAAGTCTGAGGCAAAATACAAATACACTTCTTTTCTTCTGTTGAATGAACTGGGCTTCTGAATATGACTTTTCTTGGGTCCAGGATTATTATTGAAATTCAGGCTTGAGGTTGGGCTAGTTAAAGCTAAATGTTTCAGTATATTCATGAATATTCAAAAGTACTCTTTGGTTTTGTGTTGGGATAGAAACACTATGTTTATATCTATTTGGCATTGTAGTAGCACTGTTTCTATCAACCAATCTTTGTGATATAACCAGAATTATATCATGCAGAACTTCAAGCATGGTTGAGAGAGAATCTTCACAGTAAATCAACATGTTTGATTTTTAGGAACAAAAGGGTTAATAGGAGAAAAAGGAACTCCAGGAATCTCTGGCAGGCCAGGAATGCCAGGAAAGGATGGGGATCCTGGTTTACCAGGCCAAGCAGGTATGATTAAACATGTGGGGTTTTTTCCCCAGAATTCTTTTGAATAAAAGTGTATAGTACCCTTCCATGCTATAATTTTACTTTTAATGGCATCTAGTAAACCCCTCCAATTATATCTCTGTAACAAAGTATGTTTAAATAAACCCAATTTTCTTTTTTAATTTAGGACCAAAAGGAGATTCGGGCAGTCCAGGATTCCAGGGTGAAGCAGGATTTCCTGGAGAAAAAGGATCAATGGGTGAAATGGGTTTACCAGGTACTATCCACCATAGACTCTGGATGATTTGGAATTTTATACTAAGTTGCCATCCATCACTCCAAATATTCAGATTAAATTTGTTTTAAGGAAAAAACTCCACATAATGTGTCTTTCAGGGCTACCTGGAGAAAAAGGGTTTCAAGGCCTTCCAGGTGAGGCGGGTCAGTCAGGATTTCCTGGAGTTAAAGGTGAAAAAGGACGTAAAGGAGACTCTGGACTTCCTGGAATTGGCTTCCCTGGAGCTCCTGGTGAGAAGGTATCCATAATCCTTCATAATATGTGTTAATGTCATAAACAGCATGTTGATTACTGTGCTAATGTATCTCTAATTTCAAGAGAGCTATTTAGGACTAGGTTTCTATCATAACAAAAATATAGAAGACAGGAGAAAAATTGATATAGGCGGTATAAGAAATTGATTTATCTGGAGCCAGATAATTGGAGCAGCAGCCTTTCCCTGAATTGTTTGGTGACACTAGAAGTGAAAGCCTAGGAGTTTCTGCATGCAAAGTATGTGCATTTCTGAGGACCCCCTGTACCCTTTTCTTCCTTAGCATAATAAGCTCTTGTTTCTTGTGTGGTCAGAAAGTGAAACAATAGACTGACAACTTGAGTGTAGGTACCACAGAGAAATAGCTAACAAATTATTCTGTAATGAGAAAATATGTATTAAAATTTGACTCAGAAAAGTTTTGTGTGGAGCCTTTTGTGGAGAAAAAAAGCAATGTTTTTCAGAGCAACAATGCATGCATTCATTCCAGTTTGATTTCATCACAAGAATTGTATACCATAAGTATTCAAAGCACAACTGAGTCAGAATGTCTTTGGCTAAGTTATAGTTGTTGTGGCCTGGAATATAGACTAGGAATATGCACTGGATGTCATCTATTTCAGCTCAGCTTGATGCAGGAGCCATTATAACATCTTTGACAATCATTAGCCAAATTACCAATTTATCAGATTATAGGAGGAATTATCAGATCACATAGCAGTCTGTTTTCCTGGCTGGTAGCTTGTACAATCAGGAAGCTCCTTGTAGTTTTAATTGAGTCTGGTCAACTGATGCTACAAAATGTCCACTTGGTCTTCTTACATAGTTGAAGACAGCTATAATACCTCCTTTCAGTCTCTTTTGGAGGCTAAATATATCAAAGACCTTTAAAATGTGGACAAAGTTCCTTGAAAAGGTTTGACTGATCATACAAATACTTGATGTACATGTGAGAGCCAGCAGAGAAGAATTAACTGGGACAATCCAAGTAATTTCAATCTATTCATTCCCATCTAACTTAACCTGCATCAACTCAGCCATCTATTCTCAGTAAGAAATGTTTCTTTGGGAACAAAGTTTTGCAAAGATCATACCTGGGAAATTCCAGAAATATCTTTTTCTAGGTATCATCTTAGTGTATTGAAATTGGCAGTATCAAAGAATAATAATGCATAACATTGTACATGTTTATATGTGAGTTGCCTTTATGCATACACATTACACAACTTCTCTGCTTAGCTTAGGGATAAAGAGCATACAGTGAATATTTAGGTTTTGTGCCAATCCTTTGGAACATCTCCCTATAGTTTTCTTTCTTGCGTGGTTGAAAGTTACATATTATAGCAAATTTTAACTGGAGTAAAATGAACTTCAGGGCAAATGTCTGGGAAAAAATACTTAGTATTGGAAAAGAACTAAGCATCTCTGATTAAACTAAATGTATTTTCTTCTTCTTCTTCTTCTGTCCACAGGGTGAACAAGGATGGCCGGGCAATTCAGGCTTACCTGGAGACAAAGGTGAAAAGGGTATTCCAGGTATTTCAGGCATCCCTGGATCCCCAGGCATCAAAGGGCAGTCTGGCCTTCCAGGTTCTCCAGGTAGGTGATCCAAAGGGTCCTGTATTATTTTGTGACAGTTATTTAGGCTATAAATTAAACAGGTGTGCTTTACTTTTTTAAAAAAAAGGTGTTCCAGGACTGGCAGGTGAAAAGGGACAGAAAGGAACCCCAGGCTTTAGTGGTGTTCCAGGCTTAAAAGGACAACCAGGTAAAAAAACTTCGGACAATGCTTCATCTCTGAATGGAAGGTCAGGTTTTCTCTTTGATATTTTTGTCTCATGTACTTGGAGCCATGTTAGCTCATGCTTGTCAACTGCCTAGTTGGCAAATCCAGAAAAAGAAACTCCTGGGACATTCTTTTACTAAGAGTATAAACTTCACTGAATAAGTCCCCATTGGCACAGAAGAAGCCAACCAGCTCTGGCTTCCTGTGCAAAAGCACTCATAGTTCATTCCTCTTTTCCCCAAGGGCCACCCACAATCCATTATATCCACCAATCATTTCTGTTCATTTTGTTATGAGAACCAATCAGCCAGGCTGTGACATCTGCTCTGGGTGTCCTTGAGGGTGGGAGCAACGTCTCACGGGAACCAAGGATGCTTGGATGCTATTCCACTCACACTTGCATTCCAATCCACCGCCATTCTTTGTCAAGCTGCAAGCAAAGCAGAATATAGGTGAAAGTTCGAGTCAGTCTTGACAATGCTGAAAGCTGACTTAAGGGCTACAAATACAGGTTAAGATGTAATCAAATTGTAACTGATAAGGTGATATACACGCATCCTCTGCTTTTGTAATACATGAAATAAGATACCCTGTACTCTAGTTTCAACTTGAGTGTTTTCTAGAGAAAATTTGCATTAATCCTAGGCTAGAAATGCACAACTGTTTTTTAAGTCCAAGGATAGCACTTTGAATGCATTATATTACAATGCAATACATATTCAACAACATTACAGAATAATATCAAATAAGTGGAGGAGATCTGAACTCAAAATGGCTTGATTTAATTTAATTCTGATTAATCAAAATTAAATATAATTAATTAAATACAATTAATATGATTATCAACCACGAGTTTTTTAAACATTGAAAATGATTCCTGGTGGTAGCTTTATAAGAACTTTGGCTTTGGGGGCTAGTGTTCTGTTTCAGGCACAAATGCACTTTTAACTACCAACTTATTTATTTATAAATTGAATTTAAATCACATGTAAAGATATATCCAAGTCATTTGGAATCATATTGATTGATCTTAAGATCTTCTTCCATTTATCTGTTAAACAAATTAAGAACTTTTCAACATAGTAAAAATAAAAATAAATTTAATTGCTCTTCAATTCAATCAGTGCTTTTCGTGTTAGAGCAAGATTTATGCACTTGTGTAAGTGTCAGAACCTTGTACTCTATTTCAGCACTGATCCCTCACAAATTAAAAGTAAAGTAAAAATAAATTCAAACATTGTAAATGATCAAAGCCTTGCATGTTTTCATCTGAAACCTTACAAACTTCAGGTGCTTCTGCTTAAGATCCCATGAGAGCTTTGTGCTTTAGTGAACACAATTACTATCTACTTCCTACTACATCCTCAAACCCCCATAACTTTCACCTTAAACTGTCTACTGTTGACCTCACCCCAGACTCAATTAAGGGGTCAGTAGGGGCATGCATAAGTGCACCAGTGTGCCTAACGTCCCTGTCCTAATGTCCCCATTTATTTGTACCCATTTCCTGTGTTCTTATACATGTTTATTCTTATTCCTGTTATCTTGTACATGAGTGACAAAATAAACAAACAAACAAACAAATAAATAAATAAATAAATAAATCTATTCATTGTATTTATTATGTTTGGAGGTTGGTCATATTTCAACTGGTGGAAATTGGGAAGCATTTACCTTAAACAGCAACATATAATTCGGGGGCAGCCGGAAAATCGCTGCTGTAATTCCTTGGAGTCTCACCCCAACTTCTATATGAATGTAGGGGAATTACATTATAGCTTCCAGTAAACAAAAACTCCTCTTAGTTCATTCTAACACTTCAGTGACCTGTCAGTCATCCAACTGAAAGGAATGAAATGAAAATTATCAGGTACTCTGTCTCCCTCTCCTCCCTCCCTCTCTCTCACACAAAGTGTAGAGAGCCACAGAGACACTTTGGAGAAAAACAAAAACAAAAACATGCTATTAGAAAACAGAGCAGATCAAGAAGAAGCACAGACTGCCTCCACTCTAACTCTCAGGGAAGTAAGAGGGACAGAAGTGAAGCTTTCGATATTCTAGTAGTGTAGCCTGCCACAATAAAATACAATTCCAGTCAGATTAGTGGAATCAGTTTTCTGACCTGGGTCACCTCAAAGGGCTCAAAGACACACAAAAATAAACATATCTAAACCCTTCATGCTGAAAAACACTGATAGTAAACTGTTCTGACCCCACTCCATATGGTGAGTCACGCCGACACAAGATTACTGTTAGCCATGCTTTATTCACAGTAATTACTCACAGACAAGACTTTGGCAGCAACCCAGACTCCCACAGATAAGAGATACACACAAGAGCTTCTCCAACTTAGTAAAATGGTTGTGTCCTGCAAAAGGTCTCCTCCCAAAGTCTCTTCTTATATACTCTCTTGGGAGGAGCCTAATCACAACCACCTGAGCCTGATTATCTTCTATGTCTCCTTAATTGCTGCCTGCACTTCTCCGCCCTTCTTTGCCTGGCGTCCGGGACCAACTCCCTTTGCTCCTCCCCACTGTTCCAGAGCCTGACGTCTTAATCACTGCTCCAGTGCATGATGTCAGGGACAAACTCCCTTTGGTTTTCACCGCTGCTCCATGCCTCAGGCGCCTCCTGGTGGCCAACCAGCCTCTCTGGTCCCTGCTCGGAGTCTGAACCCTGCCCAGGGTCCTCCACATCTTCCAGAGCCAACTCGTAGGATCCCTCGCTATCGGAGTCTGTTGGCAGCTCTAACGGCTCCTGATGGGCCACAACAGTAAACGTAGAAGGAAGCTTCTCTGAATGCATAAATAACATATTTGTTGGTTTCTCAGCATGATGAGTCCTATATTCCTATGTTGCAGGTGACCCTGGAGTACAGGGCCCACATGGAACTGCTGGAGAAAAAGGTGAGCCTGGTTTTGATGGAATCCCAGGCACTCCTGGTTCAAAAGGTGATTCAGGTAAGACTTTTTACCTCCTTGGTTTTCTGATATTAAATATAGGTGTTGTGTCAGATGTGGAGTTATATAATAATTGTCTGGAATAACTTTGCAGTTTGAAAGATTAAATATATACGTAACCAATGTTTTATATATACTATAAGAGAATGAATGGTACATGAGAAAATGGATGTAAATTTTCTTAGGAAACCAGTGCTGCTGCTGCTGATGATACAGAACAATCTAAGCATATCTGGTTGTGCACTGTTTCTGCACTTATTCTCCTGAGCCCTCTGAATGTCATTCAGGACCTTCAAAGCCCCAGTATTTTGACAGAATGTGCTACTATAAACTACTTTTCACTTTTCCTTCTCTACCTTCACTTCCCTTCTCCTTCCCACCTTTCCTCTATACATTTTTCTTAAGAAGGGTGCAAGATCCAAAGGGGTAGAAATTGTCTGTCTGTCTATCTATCTATCCAATTTAACTGCCACATTATGGACAGAAGAGAACATTTACAAATATAAATGTTTTACAGTATGAGGAAAATTATAGGGTAACGTCTTAATTCTATTCTAAAATATGAAGCTATCACCTGATTGGACTATTTAGGGAACATGCTGCATGTTTCTCAATTTCTTAGATCCTGTGTTTATCTTTACAGGTCTTCCAGGTAGAGGATTTCCTGGAATTCCAGGTGGAAAAGGAGAAAGAGGTAACTTATAAAAAAATCAAATGTAAAGAATCCTCAAAGTCCATCTACTGTTTCCATTTTTCTTTGCCATTAGTGGCATGTAAGATGTTCTGAACCTGAAATATTAGATTGAAATGCCCATTTGGAGTCTTATTTACTCAAATAAAGCAAAACATGTGTGTTTGATTTGTATTTTGAGCTTCGCACAAACTCTATGATCTCCTTCCATGCTCAGAACAAAGCTTCTTGGAGCTCTGTTTAGAGTGTTTCCTGGACTGCGGCTAGACTTTTGTAGCGCATTGTTCCACCCCATAGTCAGACCTGAACAGCAGAAGGGATCAATCATTGACTGAATAAGAGGACTGAATAAGTAGGAAACTCCTACTACTGCAGCTGCTGGAGTTTGTTTTGCTGGTGGGCATCTAGCAATCCCCACCTCCCCCAATTCCCACGTTTGGCTTTGCTGTTATTTTAACTTTAAAGCAGTATGATGATCCTAGTTAGATGTAAAAGAGATTCACTCTCTCCTCTCCTTGTAGAATTCACCCATATTTATAGCTCCCCTCTCCAGAACCACCATCATCCCTCTATTTAAATGTAAATTTGAGGAAACTTAATTCTTCTAACCGGTGACATTTTGTGTAGACTACTACTGATAACACTGCTGAACTGTGTTCAGGGGCCTAGACAGCTTTTTCTTTGTAACCAAGACTCATCTTTATGGCTTCCACCAGCCACCCCTAGAGAGCTGGTTCCCTCTCCTCTCATAAAATCCCAGAAATCATGTCTGCTGAAATGACTACTTGAGCAGCAAGAGGGAATGTTAGGCATGACATAACAAGAAATGTACTGATGCCTCCTTGACCTTTCTGACTTGGAATGTCTTTTCCTATGAGAGGAACTCAACCACTCAAGAATGAGCCAGCAGTGTGCTGCAGTAGCCAAAACCCCCAACACAGTTCCAGGCTGCATCAACAAAGGATAGCATTATACTCACAAGAAGTGATAGTACCACTTAATACTGCATTGGTGAGACCACACTTGGAATACAGTGTCCACTTCTGGTCATCATGATACAAAAAAAGATGCTGAGACTAGAAAGTGTGCAAAGAAGAGCAGTAAAGATGATAAAGAGTCTGGAGGCTAAATTATATGATGAATGCCTAAGGAACTAGGTATGTTTAATCTAATGAAGAAGAGACTGGGGGGAGATATGATAGTTGGCTTCCTGTACTTAAAGGGCTGTCACAGGGAAGAGGTCAACAATTATTGTTCAAAGCACATGAATGCAGGACAAGAAGCAATAGGTGGGAGCCTATCAGAGGGAGATTCGACCCAGAAACAAGAAGAAATTTTCTGACAATCGGAACAATTAATCAATGGAAAAGCTTGGCTCATGGAGGTGTGGGTGGTCCATTGCTGAAGGTTTTCAAGAAAAGATTGGACAACCATTTGTCCATGATGCAGTAAGGACTCCTGCCTTGGGCAAGGAATTGGACTAGATGTGCAAGGTCTCTTCTAGTCCTATGATTCCTTGCAATGAAACTGGGCAGAGAAAGCTACACTGAGCCAGTTTCTCTTCTTTGTTCTTTTTTCCTGGATGAATTCAAGAAGGATCTGGGTTCTAAACTCACAGAGCAACTTCAAACTGGAGTCATGTTTCAGCACAAGCTTTTGGTGATGTCCAAATATTTATACTTGGCAGCCTTTGTAGTCCAAGGATGAAGAGTGTATTTTCAGAAATGATAATCTTAACTAATAAGCAAGTACTGGACCACATAACATCAGACTTGTCACTGGAAGGCAAAATCATGAAACTGCATCTCACTTACTTTGGCCATGACATGTGGGAAATTCACTGGCAAAAGCAATTATTTTTCCCCTGTTCATAACATTTTATTAAATTATAGAATAATTATGTTTTGAAGAGTTAGTGGTAAAAGGAAACCAGGCTGTCAAAGAACATAGCTGGACACCAGCCAGAGCTGGAAGAAGTGTAGTGCAAGATTGGAAGACATGGAGAGACTTGGCCCATAGAATCACCAAGAATCGGACATGACTGAATGGATCTCTTCATCCTCATCCATCTTGGTAGAAAGACATTTTGTTCATTGAAAAATAGATTATAGGAAGATAAATCCTCCACATCTTTGTTTTCTTTCCATATCCATTTTTCTAAAGTAAATTCCCAGATGCTCCACTTCAAATTTAATTCTGCCAGTACCAGTTTTTCTTTCCATAGCTTAAAGCACTTGTAAAATTAAACTATTTATCTTGGAGAGTTTTTCCTTAGGAAAATTAACAGTCATACCAGCCAGCAATCTCAAGTCGTAATTCTCTCTTTAGCGGCACCATTATTATTATTATTATACAATTGTATCACAGCGGCCAGTTGTTTCGCCGGATTTGGCATTGGTTACTAGTCAGGCCCCACCCAGGGGCCTAGGA